CCTCCATTTTACATAACAATACATTACGCATACAATAACGAACTCCATAGAAGAAGTCATCTTAAAGGCATATCAACATGTCATGAACACTACTGAACACTAGGAGGCCATTACAGAGTTCCATCTTTCGGACATTCATCATACCGCATTGGTTTTCATTTCTTGTTCTCAAAACAGGGCACTAATCTGTTTATTTTAAGTGTTTGTAGTATTATTTTATAAGGAAATCAATTATTTTTAATTATTAGTTTAATTAACAAACTAATTATATGAAACTATTATCAGTACACTACAAATAAACTGGTTATATGCCTTTATTAGTAAATTAAATCTAAGTCTTTATTAATATACTTTATTATTTTTAAGACATTTATAAAAATGCCTTCTATATTTCTTTTCACTCCACTGTATTCCACCACAGGCGACTGCACGTACGGAATTGACACTTTGTTATTGTTATTTCACCATATTTTTGAACAGTGTGTTTCCTTGGAAATATTACTGTATATTTTCACTTTTAATTTATATTTCCATCGTAAGTTTGGTCTTAAATTTAATTTAGAAGAGGTATTAAAAAGTCTTAAATTTAAATTGTTTATACCTGTAGCCACCCTGCAACTGGACTTCCTATAAAGTGATCACTAACTTTCAGATTCTGACCAGGAATCAAAGCCTGAAAAATAAACAGTATGAACCATGACCCTGAATCAGACGTTAAAGGTGAATTGTAACAGGAGTAGGCCTACTTGATATGCCTGAGATCAGAGGTGTGCCGGCAAAGGATGAAAGGTTTCTTTGATGATTTTCTCTAAAGTTGAGAGGGGGATGAAGATCTTCCTTCATGGTTAAGGGTAGCTACATGTTTCTGAGACCCATCATGCAGTGAACACACTCATTTCCATCTGGATTTGGTCATTTGACAAGATGGTTAAGCCTGCTTAAGGCTGCCCCCTAATGGACAAAAATACGTGCTTCATTTCCCTTTGTTTCCCTATTCAAACCTATCCTTCCTGTGACAGTTATGACAGCGTTTACAAACAATTAGAAATATTATAATCTATATTATATATAGAAATAGGCTCATTTTACAACTCCTTTAGATTAACAGTTGAGTTCTACCATTTTCGAATTCATTCAGGCGATTTTCTGATATATCAGGTCCCTAAGTTCCATAGGAAAAAATATATAGGCTATGGAAAAATATATAGGCTACTATGGAAGTCGGGACCAGAAAATACTGATATTCTACTAAATATCAGAAAATCGGTTGAATGGGTAAAACACAACTGTTTAACTCTGAGGGAAATGAGCCTATTTCCAAAAAGAGTTAAGTTGAGTAGGCCTATCCCTGACGTTATTAAATTTTCTTCCCGCCCATACAAAATGTCAACGATCTGTTACGTACACGCCAAAAACAATGGGGTTTTAGTACAGGTTCAACGCGTTTCTGCGCTACAATTATTTACTTGAATTAAGTCTTATTATAAATTCATTCACAATTACGTATAGAAGAGGCTTTTATCCAAAGCGAATTAAATTGCAATTAAGGTAAACATTTATAAGGTAAACAAACATCAGTCATACATTCCTTGGCAATCGAAACCGAAGACTACTGCCTCGACAGTACCTGTCCGGGATAAAATATCCACACAGTAAATGTTGAAGTGTTGCCACTTGCGGCAATGGCCTTGTTTTATATGGATGTGAGTTACTGAACTGTATTTATAGCCTATGTAGGCCTACTTGCATTTGTTCATTTGATCATCCATGATAGACTCATTTAACAATGCTATCACGTGACTTCTCAAGTTAGTTATCATCTGAGAAATATTAAATATAGTTTGTTTTTAATAACATTTTATAAAAACATCTTTAACAATGTTAAAAATATCTACAAAATTGTCTACTTTCAGTTATTCACACTGGAAATGGAAGGTAAATCATTGTTCAGTTGCCTACATTTTCCCATCATTTGGGTATGTCAAGCAACCAGAAAATGTGCAAAATTGTGTGAAGTACGCATACTATGCTTAAATATAAGTAGTACTAGTATGGCTATTCCAATGACTTTCTGAATAGATGAATGAATGTGCTCTGCTAAATGGCGACCAAAGCATGACAGTTAAATTTAAGAACAGATACATTTTATTGTGTTTTCCGTTAGGACAATGCAAGATACAATGTAAACATAAAAAGGTACAAAAACAAAACATAAAGTAAAAATCACAAAACAAAAATGCTAAAAATGAAGCTATGCAGACCTTTAGTTCTTTAAAAGAAATGCATACAAAATGTAGATTTGGCTGAGCGCTGAATAATATCAATGCAAGGCTTACTCTCATTATGTCCAAGGGAACACTTTTTAATATATCTTATGAGGGCGAATATCCATCCAAACATCCGTTACATCCAATGTGGCTTCTCATCTTCACTTCCTATCTGAGAAGTCAACTTTGCTTGAAGAATTACTTGAGGAGTACTTGAGACTGTCCAAGAATCTGCTGTAGCCTACATGTATAAGATCATTTTTAAAAGAAAGAAAAACCCTTTCACACAGGCAGCTGTATGTCAATTCGATGCATGATGAAAGCAATCAATCAATTTAACTTTCACTCATCAAAACACTCTTAAGCGAGAAGTTACCTGCCTCTTTTTTTTGCTGTTAATTAAGAGAAGAGGAATGATAGTGCAGACAGCCAAGCAGAGACGGGGACAGAACACAGCAAGAGATTAGACTGCCGCAGCACGTTTCCATCAAAAAGAACACAAACGCCGTCGCCTCGCACCAAACACTGATGCATCTGATCATGCAAATAAACACCTACCAAACTCCCTTTAAAAACTTCAGTGTGCACACATACATCTCTCTCCATCCTAATCCGTGCCTAATACAGGCCTACTTCCTTATTATCCAAGTAAGGTCACATGTAATGTTAGTTGGATTATTGTTAATACTGAAATATTGCACCCAATCATTAGCTGTAGGCTAATTATTGCCAATTAAATCATTTTGAGCTACAAAAATATAACTTTTTCTCAGCCATGAAACTCACAATTGTAATACCCTGTCAATAACACTCTGACACGATCGATCATGTACATTCGTACATCCTTTTTGTTTTACACCAACATAACACGTGGACGCCTCAGTAAATCCAGTCATTCGCTGACACGGGAAGCTCAAATGATTCCTCTTGATGATGTTAATACATCTCGACATGCTGTGAACCATTAGAGACACGATCAATCTATCTCGCCATCTGATCGACATCCACAATCAGTGCGACATTTGTATTCACCGCGCTCTTCCCAGCATCTGTAATTAACCGAGCACTCGGGTAATATGATTTCACAGCGCGCGTGTAAGCCTGCTCCTCCTGGAGACAAGGAGCCCTATTCTTTTACAGCAACGTTCTGTCAGCAACTTTTTAATTGTTATAAAGAGGTTTGCAGCAGCAGCAAGCTCGTGTGGATACACATTCGCGAGTTTCTGTGTACTCTAAGTTCTGTGTTGAAAAAACAATGGCCTCAAAGACGAGGCTGCTCACTTGAATTAAGTAGCAGTCAGTTTTCCAACAGAAATAACTAGTGTGTTTCTAGAACACAGTGCCTCACTAGAGCTATTATGACAACGCAGTTCCACTGTGGCACCTTAATGAGCTGCTGCAAGCGCTCTGAAGTGCTAATTATCGTAAAAAGCCTTGTTTTTCTTTCCACGCCGAACACTTCTTCAAATCCATTAGAGCTGTTTAATCACGCCTAACCATACCTGACTGGATTCCCTTCTAACCAAACATCATAAGCAAACATTCACCTTCTCTTTCCACCATTTAAAAACTTCTTTACACAAACCATCACAGAATACACCAACAACTATCTCTTCCGATTCAGGAGCATATGGGATGTCCCAGGTTCAATGCAAAGTATACGTATTTGTGTGCAAACCAACACACTCTCATTGCAATTCGTAACTATGTTAACTCTCGTAATTCGTACTGGTTCTTACGCCCCAATGATGGTTCAGTTTAGAAGTGGACCGTCACACTTTTTCTAAATATTGTATAATCACATTGTAGAAATTCGTCAACCTTTGAAAAGTACAAATTCATGAAGGTGGAGCTTCATAGATTTCTAAAAAAAAATGTATGGCCTGGCTGTACTTAAAGGGATAGTTCACTTTGAAATTAAATTTTGGTTTGTTTTAGCTTACCTCAAGGGCATCCGAGAGGTAGGTGTCTTTGTTTCCACAGTATTTTCAATTTTGATATTTTTAGGTCAAACCGTTCTTGAATGAGAACGAGACACGAAACGAGCGTTTTTTTTGTGTGAGAAAACGAACAGTATTTATATCGTTTTTGAAACTATAATTTGATCTTTGCAAACCACATTGTGCAAATTCATATCAAATCGCCACCTCATAAAATAGTTACGTTTTTTTCATGAGATGGTGTTGTTGCAAACGATTTTCGTCCGTTTTTTACGAAATTATTTTCAACAGCATGTCGCAGAACCTGGAACATTCCTGTAAATATATGCCATATATCCTACCAGATAATGTTAACCATAAAAACAAACCTTACCCAGATAGCACAAGTCTATTTGATGTGATTTTTACATCTGGAAGACGTATTTTTAAGAGTGTTTGCTCATCTGCAATACGTCTATAGGACGTTTCCTGTCAGATGTCAAATAGACGTTTAGAAGATGTCTTTAAGATGTAATGATTTAGAATGCATGTTAAACTGACACTTTCTAAACGTCTATTTGACATCTGGCAGGAAACGTCCTATAGAAGTATTGCAAAAATACGTCTTCCAGATGTAAAAATCACATCAAATAGACTTTTGCTATCTGGGTCAGGGATTTGATCGTACAAAAGGAAAACAGAAAACACAACATTAAGCAAAAACCATAGCAAGCCTCTTTCTGAGAGGGCCTGTTTCAATAGAAAAGTGTAAAGACATTTCAACTCTCATAAAATTCTCTTTTTCTCTTTGACCAGAAACTCCAAGACAGTCTTCTATAACTCTCCTCATTTTTAACTAAAGTGAAATTTGTTAAAACTCTCAGTACATGCGTTCCAATGCGTAAAAGTTCAGATATTCATGACTTCAGACAGAAAGAAAAGCAAATATATGCAGTCCATGTTATTTTAAGGTGTGGAAAATTAAACCTGGACTTTCAGAGTAAAATTATGCATTTTTGTTAGTAGGCTAAGCAACATTTAAAAAGGAAACAGACAATGTTAGTCCTTGTTGTGGGCAATTGGAATTAGGATAGAGAAGTCGTGTTTGCCATTGCAATGGTGCAATGTACTGTAGTGGTGGATGTCAAAGAGACATGTCGAGCAGTTGGCAGTGTGTGGTGCGTCGCTCATACAGTATGGCTGTTGATGGTTTTGCCTCACCATCTCAGATTTGTGATTCAACAGGCTGAACTGACAAATGCCTCTGAGAATAAGATATGCCCATGCTTCCCTATTATTTCCATACTGATTCACCATGGGTCTGAGAGGTCACTAAACCCCTTAAAGCAAGATATGGTTCAGTGCGTAAAGAGTGTGAATGCAGAAATTACTGAAGGTGTCAATCTATTAGGGATATATGAACACATATTGAGCGGCACTTTTTTGACTCGAAGGATTTAAAAAAACAAAACAAAAAAAACACTATGGGACAAAACCAGGCATTAGGTGACATAAAATTGTCATGAAAAGTAAAAAAAAGATTTTTTTTTTTTTTCCCCAAATACTATGGTTCTTAACTAATGAGATGCCTGTTTTTGTATTGCACATTTCCTCATTCCATCTGAGTAATGTCAAAAGTGAACAGGAGAAAGAAGAAAAAATAGCAAAACACAACATTGTTCCTGAAAAACGCATTGAAAAATTAAATAAATAAAGAACACAAAACAAAGCTAGCAGATACACAAGTAATGAGATAAGAACTAGTTTGACACTTAACAGTTCCCTTGTAAATTCTATAGGCGCAAATGAAGAAAAAGCATAGTGTTAATGGAGCTTAGAAACATCCATCACAAGCTGCTCGCTGTAGTGAGTCGACACATTTATATAATGCCATCGTCAAAGGAGAGTTGCAATTGCGAGTTTTCATTTTCAAGTTCAAATTTAAACGTTAAATAAAAAAAAAACAATCACCCAAATTAGAACTTTAAAATTCCATTATTGCTGTTTCTTTATATTTAAGATAACATTTAAAAGAAACACTCAAATCAAATTTGGTCCAGTCACAATTTGGGATCCATAACTAAAACTGGGATCCATCCATAACACTTGATCATTCCCATTTTAATGCTGGCTTTTAATTAGGAGGATTGATTGATTATCATTCAGATTTTTGTAAGGTCGTTTGTTTTTTAATTGGTATGATGATATTAAAATAAGAGTAAATGATTTTTTGCTTAAATAATCAGGCATTATGTGGCTCAATAACGAGAAAAGAAGTGTCCATAGTTGCTAAAGGTGCAGCTTTCAGCTTGGTTGATAAATATTGAGGAAAAACATGGGGGAAATGGTCCCATGAGTTAAAAAAAATCTAATTTCAAGAGTACGAGTAATAAAGTCCTTAAAAAAATCATCTTTGTAGGAAAAAAAAAACCCTTAAAATATAGTAGTAGCCAATTACTACAGAACTACCAAGAGTATCACATGTGTCAAATGACAATAAAAAAAAACTTTGTTTAATTAAATAATAAATACAACCAAAATGTTGTTAAATAAATTATATGCTGATGAAGTACACTGCATCTTTTAACCAATGCATTCAAGAAAAAGTTGCATTGATTCACAACAAATGAACGACTTCATTCATCATTATTGTCCATGTGTGATCACACAACAACCAACAAACAAACAAACAAGACAAAATAAACAACTTTCTGCTTAATAGAATATAACTGCAATCTAGCAGGAAATTAATGTTTTAACTGTTTAACACTAAAATACTGTCCAGCAGAAAAAAAATAAATCAAAGTAGTGCGAAACCCAATTAAGAGCTCACACTATTCATTAGAAAAATATTTCAGCAGTCTTGAACATCAGCTGTTTGATGCCGTTATTAATGAGTATTAAATGACTGAATCAGGGAGAAGTAATCATTCTGAGCTCAGACGTGTAAAAAAAGAAAAAAAATGATTGGACTATGGACTAAGATTTTTTTGGATATCGGTTGGCGGAAAATGAAGCCCTATTCTTAAATTATAGAAGTTTAAACTGCTTATTGTGAAACTTAAGATTCAATACTGCCCAGCAATATCATAACGTACAAATTAACCTTGCATATTAATGTGCTTTTCTTTGGGTTAAAAAAAAAATCAAGTGCTCCCAGATATAACAATTAAATATACTTTGTTCTCTGTTCTGAAACCTGGTTTAGGTTTTGTCGAATACACTGTATTTGTACCCATACGAATAAATATAAATGTGTCTGTAATTCTTCTTTGGTGTGATTACATTTTCGGCTCAATGTTATGTTACTACTTCCCTGGGATAAAATGCTGAGCAAAACATACGATTTTCCAGTCCTAATTTCATGACTTAGCACGCACAGAGCAGCAATATCTAAAGTCCTCTCCTCATAACATGACCAGATGCACTTTGTAAACTAAACTTGGGTTTAAACCCAATAAAGAGGTGATCTATGCATATAGCTTTCACAGACTGTTTTACTTGAACACGTTTTATTCATTTTGGCCTGCGAAAATTTATAGAATGGGGAAGACAAAAGAGATTGATCCGTCATTATTTACGACAACTGATCAGGACGGGAAGTAAGTCAGTGAATGTTCTGATGGGTTAGGATGTTACAAGAAAGCAGAAATACATCTCTAAGGAAGATTAAAAAAACATCAACACAAAACATTTTCTAAAAAAAAAAATTATACGTTTTAAAAAAAACGACAATCAAAGTTATGCTTTGTTTTTTTGAATGCACTCAACGTTTCGTTCAAAACATTTTTAACAGAAATTTCTTGTTTTTGAGTGCTTAAGATTGAATTTGCACATTTTGTTATGCATCTTTGCTGAAATTATCGTTATCTCTTTTCAACGTTGTAACAAAAATAAGTTTGTTGCTTTCAGTACTTGTAGGCCTATGGCACTAAGTTGAAGTTTGGTATTTTCGTTGCTTCACTGGTATTTGACCAATTCCTCTTAACATTCAGTGAAAGATGTAAGAAGGCACCCATTTGGCATAAAGTTTCGGCAGGTATTTTGCTAAACATTCACCTGCATTACTCTAGTTTTAATGTAAACTCCTTTCTAAAAGGCTCTTTTCAAACCAAAAGTCCTTCAGTCGGTTCGGTTCGTCTTTTTACGTTTTGATTACAATTGTGCATGTTTAAAACACTTTTGGGGAATTACTTTTTTCTCTCCAGGTAGTTAGACGGTACCCAGCCTTTACGTCCCTGTAAGCCATCGAGAACCTGGCAGTACCACCATCCATTTGGATTCTTCTCCAAAACTTCAAGACTAGTGCCCTCCGAGAAACCCATGGTCTCTTCATCGCCACGGTAATCGGCAATAGATACGTAAACCTCTCGAAGGTTGTTGTGAATGAGGTGCGTCTTCTCGATGGGCTTGGGTCTTACTGTAGAGACCGGAATTCCATTTCTCTGGGAAATCAAGGGGCTTGAACTTCCGACGGGAGCTGTAATGGTGGTCCCAGCCCTCACGCGCACATCGGTCACTGGCTGCGGTCGAACGGCAGTAAAGGAGGAGTTTCGCCTTACTCCTGTGGACCTCAAGTGGTCGCCAGCACCCAGTGATTCATTTCTCCTCAAAGACCCTGTATGGATGTTGGTGTCCTTCAGAGGCTGTGGGGGAGACACATACACTGACTGCGGTCGCACTGCTGCCTGACGGACACCGTTCCGCATCCGTATGCCTGAACCGTTCAGCATTGCGGTTGGTTTGCTGAATCCCCCAGGTGGTTTGGATGGGATTGGTGGGCTTGGGTTGCTCATACTCCTCAGGTTCTGCTGGTTGAGGTTGTTAAGGGCCTGAACACGCTGCTCGTTTTTCTCGAGGCTGTTGGACTTGTTGGTGCTACCGAGCTCCACAAGAGGCCCGTCGCGGGATTCTTGAACCCCGACGTTATGGGTATGCTTGACTGGCTCCAAGTAGAAAGTAGGTGCCCAACCCTCATCATTGCCCCAACGGACATACCACCATCCACTTTCCTGCTTCTCCAGCACCTCAACATCCACACCGGCTGGGAAGCTGACCTCTGACTCTTGGGCTCGTTCGTAGGCATCTGTGGTCCTGTAGATCGAACTTTCATGGTCGGATTCCCCACCTCGGCTACCTTTGGAATAGACGCTGGAGAGATCGGAGGTACTTCTTGAGGAGATGGAATCCTCTGAGGACACAATGGAAGCCGTCTCAGAATCTTCACCGCGTACTGCACGGACCGCCCCTTGCCGAAGACTTCCCGTGGGCCGAAGCTGGCGACGTAGGCTTTTGATGTCCATTCTTTCTGGACTTTGTGGCTCCGACTTTGTAAGCAAAGGCTTAGGTCGCACTACTGGTTTGGGCCTGGCTAAAGGACTCTGGCCAATCCGGATCTCCACATCTTTACGCATGACGGGCTCTCTTTTGGGATTGCGTCCTGATTCGTCTGATGACGACTTGGGGCTGTGTCTCTCAGCACGACCGAGAGAGTGGCTCCGGCTTAGATCCGGCGTTACTTTCCGTAGGGGCTTCCCTCCTCCAGAAGAGGACCCGAAAGGTTTGCGACCCAATGTGAGACTCCTTGGTGTATCTGAATCACAACCACTGGCAAAGTCATCAGAGGAAAACCTAAACCCTTCGTTTTCATAGATCACTTCCTCCCTATTGACATCCTCTAATGAGTTTCTTTTCCTCAAGGGGGAGGTCATCACTTTTAGTAAAGGTGACGCTTTTCCAGCCTGTGCGATCCTTTCGGCAGCTGCTGGATTGCTTTTAATTTCAAACTTGCGGGGCTCTGGTTTGGGGGAATTATTTGTTTTCGGTTTCGGAGGATTACTGTCCAGATCGGATTCAAAACCAATGGCAGGAACGTCATATTCCGGCTCCTCATAGACGCGCTGAGTGGGGGATTCTGGAGCTTTGGAGGCAGAGCCAACCAGAGAAGGTGATTCCTCAGAATCCTGTTTTTTGACTGGTGGAGCAGGGGGTGGAACTTTGGGACGGGTGAGTGTACTGGTTCGCCTGCTTAGATTGGGCTTCTTGCGTTTATCAATGTAGGAGCAGGGTGCCCAGCCTTCCATTTCCCCGATCTGGACATACCACCAACCACCAGAGTTCTTCTCTATGACCTGAAGACCACATATTACATTATACAATGGCATATATTTATCATACAGTGCGATCCAAACTTTAAAAATGTGTTTATATTAAGTTTTAAACAAATAAATCCCATTGTTTATGTGGTAAAAGTCTTTTGAACCCCACTGTATATATTAATTATTTAATATATTTGAATATTTTCATTAGTCAAACGATCTTTTTGTTTTTGAAAAAATTAAATATATCCGATATATTAGAATATATCAGCCTTACATCAGCCTTTTGTCCTCCACGGAAACTGATGCCATCTGAGATACTGGATTGAAACTCTGCTATGGTGTAGTACTCCGCTTCCACAGTAGGGGCCTCTGGAGGTTTGGGCAACTGAAATGCCTTGAGTTTTGGAGAAAAAGACATTACCGTCTAAATAAATTCTGCTCTCTATAAATTATACTGACCCTAAATGCTTTTTGGTCCACTTAACTTACCAGATTTGTATCTCTTCGAGGAGGAGGTTTCTGTCTGAGGTTTGGAGATCCTGCCATTTGAATACAAAACATATCAGCTCGAGACAGCAAACATTACCATAGCTTAATCATATTTAGGACATTAAAATAGGAGAGTTCCCAATTTGTCTGACACAAATTTATTTGTATCAAGGCAATTGGATCCAAATTGGATTACAGTGCCATCACTAATCCTCATTATAAGAGAGAAGTTTCAACACACTCAAGCATGCATTCACAACAAGCATGTTTTAAGAAAAAAAATATCAGAAGGAAATCTTGTAGTGTGAGAAATATGATGGCCCGGGTATGATGATTAGGTAGCAAGAGTAATGATAAGAAATATCCAATGAGAAAATAGAATATTAACCATTGTCTCTTTAAATGTCATCTTTTTTTGTTTTTAGATTTATTAGCAAAACCATGTACCATGCATACAACTTAAGCTGCTGTTATTTGAATAGAATCAGTCAAATTGTAAGTTTTAACCAAGGCGAATAACTTTGAGGATCATTTGCTGTCTGTTAAGGACCTGTTACGGTGAAATAATAGTGTGTACATCTCAGCATCCACAACAAAACAGATTTAACAAGAATGAATGTCATGTAATGTGAGCAGTACAGCACTATGGGATTAAATATTTCAGTTGTATAGTGTGCTCTTAGCATTAGAAAAATAAGTAAGCACAATAACAAACAAAAATCAAACAAACAGCAGTTGGCAGGCTGAATGTTGAGCAACAGAGACAGGGAATGTGTCACTATTAAGGTACACAACACCCGCACAAAATGTTAGGAAACATCTGTTTACCACAAAGAAATGTTACCTATGGCATCAAATCCTATGTGCAAAAATAACAGGAACATAAACAAATTTATTATATCAAATATGGATTATACAATTATATAGAAAATAGGATTATATATTAAATATAAAAAAAATATATATATATATATATATATATATATATTTTTTTTTTTTTTTAAATAATTTAATTATAATTGCACTTGTTTTGGATAACCTAAATAAATACTGTAAGTCTTCTATATTCTATTATATTTTGAACATATGAATGTTGTGTACATATTTAAACATGTCATAAACCAACTGTTTACTCACCTATCTCAACTCTGTGTGGTGCCACCCTCGCTACGGCAGGTGACCCCGGCTCTGCCCTGCTCTTGTTCTCCTGTAGGGTGGCGCTAGATCCAGAGTTCATTCCCAAACCAGTGACCACCGTGGGTGCCACTCCAGCCTCTGGGGCATATTGGATAGGTAAACTGATTTCACTTTTGGAAATGTGGCGTTCAGGGCTGGTGGCCTCGCCATCAGTTTGAATGTCCTTCTCGCTTACAGCCTTCTTGTTGAGGAGGTTGCTGATCTCCATTATGTTTCCTATGATCTCCACAGGCCCAGTCAGAGTCTTCTTCCTTGGGGAAAGGTCATCTTTCAGTTTCTTCAGGTATGAGGCTGGGGCCCAGCCCTCTTTACCCTGATACCTGCAACACATCAGTAGCAGTATTACACATCTTTCAAAATAAAATGCATTAACCATTCTCCTACTGACCACTAGAGGTCAGCATAACTTTTTAAGTAAGATGAAGTCGTACTGACCATCCAGAGATTGCAAAAAAAAATGTATAAAACTGTCTTGCTTTAATGTATATATACACACACACACACTCACACTAATTATTACAGCCCAAATCACTCTACATGGGGTTTCAAAGCAGCTTTTACAGAAAATCATGATCTAACATGTTAATATCTTCATGCATTTAGCAGATTAGAGTTGGGTGGTAATTTAGTTTCCATTTCATTAAAAAATGCAATCTAGAAATTGAGATAATATGCAATAGGTCAATAGTATATACTTTATATAATCAAGTTGCATATCTACGGAGGCGTATTGCATTCACTTGAAGAAAAAAAATCTACTGTTTTTCTGAAACGAGTTAATTTTTCATGAGACAAAAAAATAGCTTTTTTCTGAATTAATGAGTTAATTTTTCATGAGAAAAAAAGTTTTTGCTCTGTTTTTCTGAATTAACGAGTTAATTTTTCATGGAATTTTTTTGTGCTGTATTTTTCTGAATTAATGAGTTAATTTTTCATGAGAAAAAAAAATATTTTGCTCTATTTTTCTGAATTAATGAGTTAATTTTTCATGAGAAAAAAAAATATTTTGCTCTGTTTTTCTGAATTAACGAGTTAATTTTTCATGGATTTTTTTTTGCTCATTTTTTTTGCTCTTTTTTCCTGAATTAACGAGTTAATTTTTCATGGAATTTTTTTTTTTTTTTTTGCTCTGTTTTTCTGAATTAACGTGTTAATTCAGAAAAACAAAGCAAAAAAATCAGAAAAACAGAGATAAAAAAAATTCCATGAAAAATTAACTCGTTAATTCAGAAAAACAGAGCAAACATTTTTATTCTCATGAAAAATTAACTCATTAATTCAGAAAAACAGAGCAAAAACTTTTTTCTCATGAAAAAATAACTCGTTAATTCAGAAAAACAGAGCAACATTTTTTTTTTCTCATGAAAAATTAACTCATTAATTCAGAAAAACAGAGCAATTTTTTTTCTCATGAAAAATTTACTCGTTAGAAAAACAGAGTATATATTTTTTTCTTCAAGTGAATGCAATACGCCTCCATACATATCTTTACACATCTAACTTTATTTATAGAGCTATATTTACATTTTTGTGACCAACTTTGCTATATAGTATATATTTATCTGTATATGCAGTGAAAATAGGATGCACTATACATCCTACTTTTAATATATATAATCAAGCATTTGGAATTTGTTGTAGCACCAATCAATACATTGATAACATAGTAAAGTCTAGTGCAGATGTTTCTGAAGACCCAAACATATTGCAATGAAGAAATGAAATATTATCAGCAAAAATATTACCAAATAATAATAAAAAAAGCAAATATTTCCATAATATACCACCTTAAAGTGTGAGGTCCAGATTGATTACCTGATGTACCACCATCCCTCCAGGTTCTTCTGGATGACCTCCACGGTTACTCCTTTCTCGAACCCGATCTCATCCTTTCCCTGACTGCCATACGCCTGGACAGTCACATATTTCTCCTCTAAAAAAGACAGATAAGGGGAAAAGAATGAGAAAGGACTTCTTTGTTATTTTTTTCCCCTGTTCTTTGGGTCTTTGCCTTTTCTGCGGTGTGAAAAGAGGTTGACTAATGGATTTAAATGCTAACTTACTGTATAAACTTACAAAATTTAAGGACTTTCCTTGGGAAAATAGAGGCAGAAGTAAAACCACAAAGTTTGCAGTAAGACCGGTCCAAAACTCACCCTTCACCACAGGCACAATAACACAATCGTCTCACAATCCGTCAATAGTAATAACATTAACAAAACCTCCAGGAGACAGTGGGCCTGTTGTAACCAGAGCAATACAAGCCCAAGACACAATAATTATCATAAGCCTATCCACTCCGGTTCTAGTATTATTCCATATAAAATACCTAGTAGGATTAGTCTTATACAAACATGTCCAGGTCTTGACAAGTCAAAAAAAATAATAATAATTACATATTGCATTAGGAATATAGAATCACCATTATGCATCAGGACACTTTAAAACTTTCACTTTAAAAAAAAAAACTTTTGCTGATAATTTACTCACCCCCATGTCATCCAAGATGTCCATGTCTTTCTTTCTTCAGTTGAAAAAAAATTAAAGTTTTTGATGAAAACATTCCAATATTTTCTCCATATAATGGGCTTCAATGGGAACCAAACGGTCCAAATGAGAGTTTCAGATGAGACACCAGACGATAAATAAGGGTCTTATCTAAAGGACCCTGTGAGTCATGACTCGAAAAAAGATTTGTTCATTTTGATGAACGAGTTTGAACAGGAGAGTCACGAACGCGCATCACAGAACAGAGCAAGGCGAGGATTTGTGCTTATAAAACTTAAACTTTTTTATTTAATTTTTAAACGAGCGATCGTTTCGCTTGATAAGACCCTTATTCTTCGTCTGGTGTCATTTAAAGCCCTTTGAAGCTGCTTTGAAACTCTCATTTGGACCTTGAACGTTTGGTCCCCATTGAAGTCCATTATATGGAGAAAATCCTGGAATGTTTTCGTCAAAAAACTTAATTTCTTTTTGACTGAAGAAAGAAAGACATGGACATCTTGGATGACATGGGGGTGAGTAAATTATCAGCAAAACTTTTTTTTAAAGTGAACTGCTCCTTTAAAGATAGGCCAACACATACCACCATTTTTACAATTTAAATGATATATTATTTTCCCATTAGAGTAAAGAGAATGAGACTGTTTTGTGTAATGATAATAAGAATTGGGGAAGAATATGTGCTTAATTCTGGTGAAAAAAATGGTCTCAAACAAAGAAATCTTTTTATTTTTTTGCTAAAATATGTCCTGGATATGTTCATAGAAGGTTTTGTAAGATTCACCCAGTAAGACAAATAAGTTAACTCATCATCACAACCAGTTTTATCCCACCATTTTGCATTGAAGACTCCTGAGATCTTACAAAGCATTTATCTTCCCTAAAAACACACATAAAACATTATTCCGTATCGTTTACATATGACACAACTGTGTTTAACACCTACATATCAAACTCTAATGTCTTTCCCTTTGCGAAAGAGCTCTGAGCAGCGCAATAAATTTCGATTTAGTGAAACAGAAATAGAGCTGATAAAAAGACATATTGATAGTGGGAGAAGTGTTGAAAAAGAAAAACCAACAAAAAAAGAGAGCTGAATATCCTAAATGTAGTTTTTCTAACCAGTAAATAACACAGTCTGCCAACAACAGATGACATTGAGGTCAGGGCAGTTAGTCACTCTCTTTCGTAACGTTCTTTCGCGGGAGCAGGCAAGCTGGGAAATCAGATAAGTGAACATATGACAGAAGAAACTACCCTGTGCTGATCTCATTCTGAACTTCTGACCCAAAACCAGCTCTAATCTTTTAGTTTTACCACAGAAGAAAGTGATAATGTGGACAGATGACCATCAGCAGGAGTGAGAGATGGGAGGGTAAAAATGAAAGAGCTAAAAACACACAAAAAGAAACGCCTCAAAAACACATTTTCCAACAGTCAGCAGGATTTTCATGGACTGTTGTGGATGGTGGAAAAAGTCAGGTCGGTCCAGAACACATTACTTGAGTTCTGCATGCACTTGTGGAGTTGTGTGCCAACAGAGGCATTTTCTCCTTCAGCCTCCGTGACCTAAAAAGCACTGTGATACGAAATGTGAGCGAGATTGTGGGTACACAGATCATTCTAGCTGTCATATTGACCTTCCTGAAACTTGCTTGCCTTAAAGGGGTCATGATGAACTGGCTTTTTAAATTGTATTATATTGTTGTCTGAGGTCAACTTATGACGTTCGCTTGGTTTTTGCATTCAAAAACATCAAAATGAATAAGTAATAGGCTATTTTCTACCCTAGGTTTGAGCCTAGCTGAAAAACGCTCGTTTTTATGGGCGTCTCGCACTGAAGACTTGGAAGTAAACGCCCACTGCTGTCTATGGGGGAAACGCATAGCTTTTCGACCGAGGGAACCCATGCGCCGATAGCTTCTGTGACGTCATCACTTCGGCACTCTATTCCTCCCGGGTTAGTGACATCACTAACCCTAAAATGTACATAAACCAAGCCCCCGAGAACACTCAGTCCATGTTGAGATGAGGAAAAGCTGTTGTATAAGAGTACATTTGTGAGTCAGCTCAAACTTAAGCATCCATCTTTTCACATGCAATAGCAGCATGAACATACTGCGTAACATCTTCTTTTGTGTTTGTGGTATATGGATAGTGAATAGTACTTAAAATAAATAAATAAATAAAATAAATAAATAAAGGTTTGGAGCATGCGGCTGAATAAATGATCATCAATATAAATGATGAAAATGATGAAAATTGAAAAAAACAATTGAAATTGAAAATGAAAATTTCCATCGTAAAAATTCACGTTTTTAAGAGCTTGGTTGTAAATGACGACCCAAGGACTCATAGTATTGTATTTCAGTACGGATTTTGAAACCATTATGTTACAAAAGATCATTAAAGCAACCACTCTGAAGCCATCACAACCTCTGACCTGTTTTGAAGGTTGCAACTTGTGTTTATGGAGAAACGTTCCCTCTGAAACTCCTGGCTGTTCTTTGTCTCTGGATCAACCGTGGTGCTCTCTGACTCATTAGTATGTATACAGTAAAAAAAAAATGACAGGATTAAATGCAGTCACACACAGCGAGCCAATGACCTACTTCCACACTTTCCACTGTGAGTTTCCAAGGACTTCTCCGTTGAAATAATGAGGGAAAGGCAGTTACTGTAACAGTGTCACATCCAATCTAAAACCAGAATTTTTAATCCCAATCTGCATGAGCCACTTTCAGAAGAAAAGAGATAAATGAATAATAACCAGAGTTCATAGTGGTCGTTGTTGGAGGATTTGAAGAGACTAATTAACATAATCTAATAAACATCAGACCTGGTATTTCATATCTAATGCCTGCTACAGACTGTGCGATTTCGGCCATCCTGATAATTACAAATCTCACTGTATGACATGGATCGAATAAACTTGGGTACGACATGTAAGTAGACTGTACGATGATGACATGCGATAGTGGTAAACAAATAGAGCGAGATCGGACTTTGGCAATTGTGGTTTTTATGCGTGCTGAAAAAAAAAGAGGACGCCGCGAAAGAGGAGAATATGGACAAGGGCAAAGAGACCAGCATGGCATGCCAATATTGCAAATGGAGCTTGAGGCCACATCCACAGAAAGCCGGTGCATTCCCTATCCGATTTCCTCGTTCTAAAAAAAAAATACGTAAACACGGCGTCTCAAGAAATATCTGCGTACACACGAAACTCCTGAAACCGACTGAAAACGGTGTAGTATATATGCCAGAACAGTATGGGGCGCTGTAATTCTGCCACAGAGATACACTATACACGGAGAAGCAGACTTTGAGCATGCGCGTAACCTTGTGCACTGTATACGAACCAAGAAGAACAAGACAAAGATGGCGTGTGATGCCGCCGACGCTTGATGTGATGACATCATTGTTTCACAAAATATACGGATTGGCTGTACACACGAAACCGCAAGGGTGTCGTTTTCAGATGTATCCACTTTGGGACCCGGTTTCAAAAAATAGCGGTTTCACTCTTCCAAAACGCCGGATCAGTGTGGACGAAACGCCAATACGATAAAAAAATGTATACGTATACAGTGAAACGTGTCTTTGTGTGTACGGGCCCGGATCAGTGTGGACGAAACGCCAATACGTTAAAAAAATGTATACGTATACAGTGAAACGTGTCTTTGTGTGTACGGGCCCGGATCAGTGTGGACGAAACGCCAATACGATAAAAAAATGTATACGTATACAGCGAAAATTGTCTCCGTGTGCGGGCCCGGATCCGTGTGGACAAAACGCCAATACGATAAAAAAATGTATACGTATACAGCAAAACGTGTCTTCGTGTGTACGGGCCCGGATCCGTGTGGACGAAACGCCAATACGATAAAAAAAATGTATACGTATACAGCGAAACGTGTCTTCGTGTGTACAGGCCCGGATCCGTGTGGACGAAACGCCAATACGATAAAAAAATGTATACGTATACAGCGAAACGTGTCTTCGTGTGTACGGGCCTGGATCAGGGTGGACGAAACGCCAATACGATAAAAAGATGTATACGTATACAGCGAAACGTGTCTTCGTGTGAACGGGCCCGGATCCGTGTGGACGAAACGGCAATACGATAAAAAAATTTATACGTATACAGTGAAACGTGTCTTTGTGTGTACGGGCCCAGATCCGTGTGGACGAAACGGCAATACGATAAAAAAATGTATACGTATACAGCGAAACGTGTCTTTGTGTGTACGGGCCCGGATCCGTGTGGACAAAACGCCAATACGATAAAAAAATGTATACGTATACAGCAAAACGTGTCTTCGTGTGTACGGGCCCGGATCCGTGTGGACGAAACGCCAATACGATAAAAAAATGTATACGTATACAGCGAAACGTGTCTTCGTGTGTACGGGCCCGGATCCGTGTGGACAAAACGCCAATACGATAAAAAAATGTATACGTATACAGCAAAACGTGTCTTCGTGTGTACGGGCCCGGATCCGTGTGGACGAAACGCCAATACGATAAAAAAATGTATACGTATACAGCGAAATGTGTCTTCGTGTGTACGGGCCTGGATCAGGGTGGACGAAACGCCAATACGATAAAAAGATGTATACGTATACAGCGAAACGTGTCTTCGTGTGAACGGGCCCGGATCCGTGTGGACGAAACGGCAATACGATAAAAAAATGTATACGTATACAGTGAAACGTGTCTTTGTGTGTACGGGCCCAGATCCGTGTGGACGAAACGCCAATACGATAAAAAAATGTATACGTATACAGCGAAACGTGTCTTCGTGTGGACGGGCCCTGAGGTAAGTTGTTTTAAGTTTTACTGTCATGTTGCCCTGATCAAAACACCACTACAATGTGTATCGGGCATTCTCAGTAGACATTCAGTCCCAGTCAGGGTGATATTCATCCATTTGCCAATGCAGCTAAAGCCCATATCAGCTCCCACCCATCCCAGATCCAGCATGCTCCAGTCTAGAGTCTACTTACAGGCATGTGCAATGGTGTTCATGACATGTTAGTCATTACACTCCAAGAGTACACAAATGGAAAACTGCGAGAATTAAAAACGTCGAGGTCTGTTGCTTATGACTCAACATGAAACGCCAGATCTCCAAGGAGACTCATTACCATACAAACATTCAATTCCACCAAAGGTCTAGACATTAGTAATTATTTGAGGTCTGGGTGTTTAGAATTAAACCCTGGGATTTTGAAAGGTCAAACCTCATGTGTGAACTGCAGGATGCCAGATCTGACCAGCAGAATTATCATTTTAATTTTAAACCAGAATGACGTTTTTTTTTTTCTTCTTTTTCTAAAACCAAAAAAAAGTGTTTTATGTTAGATGTTGAAGTATGTTTTTGTCCATAAATGGTAAAAAAAAAACAATATTACACCCATTGACTTTCATTGTATGTACAAAACAAAAAAAAAAGTCGTCCCAACTAAACGACATAAGGGTGAGTAGACACCATTACCAAATTTGTATATTTTGAGTGAACTATCCCTTTAAACCCAGGTTTCCCAAAGCCGCTCCTGGCTCATGACCATTGTCCTGCAGATTTTAGCTCCAAACATACTTAAAAACACTTCAACCAGTTAATAGAGGGCTGTGCCTGAAACTATGCCACTATCTGAATGGACAGCCATTTTTAGTGGTATCCGAAACCATAGTTGACGTTATCGAGTCGACTCATTCAATCCCACAATGCACTGCATTAACAAGTGTACAACTCATGTACACTCAACGGCTAGAGAATACCCATAATGCACTGTGATCGTTGTGCCGAATGGATTCCCGCGTCTCACCAGAAGATGGCGCCGTCAGATGAATCATCGTCCTCATTCATTCATTTTCCAAACTTCAGGTCCAAGAGTAATATAGTACAGGCATAAATTCATTTTTAATTGATTAATAACTTGTTAAATTAAGGTTTATAGATGCTAGTGTCCATTAAAAAGTTGGTTGAAGCTAAACTCTGCAGGACGTTGGTCCTCCGAATGTAGGATTGGACACCCCTGCTTTAAACTATGTTAACCTGCAAGATATACTTAGTAGGCTTTAATAGAAAAGTAGAAAGCGAAGCAGCTAGACCAGAACCATATCAATATTTCCTACCATAAACCAGTCAGAGCTCTTATATGATCAAGACTCTGGAACTTTGAATGCCATACATGAGATTTCACGCATATAATGTACTTTTAAACCAATCTTTATCCAGAGAAACATCATTTTCATCATCCGCAAACAGTCTTAATTATCTCATTTTGAGCTCATACACATAAACACAAATAAAACCTAAAGCAAGCAAAGTATAATAAAGATTTTATGATGGAGCGCATTGAAACTGACCACCCAGCATGCTTTGGGAGCCAGATCCAGAAGATTTATCCAGAAAGAGAGTTTAGGTTTGTGTGCATAGCCAAGCTAATCATTGCGTAAACCTGCACAAGCACACAAACGGACCATGCAGATTGGTCACACACACACACACACACACACGTGAATGCTTGCATCATGTGATCAGTCTATGCAGGCATGCGTGATTGCATGTGTGTTCACCTCGGCTCTGTTGGCGGTTGACTATTCCCCCTAGTGTCCATCTCCGGTCAAGCCTCTTCAGATGAGCCTTACGTCTCTTAGTAACTGACACGGGTGAATGAGGACAGCAGAAAGAGAACAGAGACATGACAAACTCAACATAAACAACTCAGGAGGAACACTGGTATTAGTGTAATGAAGACATATTACATGAAAGAAAAGAGTTTTGTGATAGGTTAGGAGGGGTTTTGGCTTGAGCGATGACGGCAAGCAATGGAGTATTTGGATTAATACATGTGTTATTGGATTTTAGTGGTGCACATAAAGTGCTTATGCATGGAAAATTCATATTATATGTACATATTAACCACTCATTATCTCCATACATTCAAAAGGGAAAAAAATGTGTGGAAGTAAAGAAACAGTAGATGATCTATCTCAAAGTTCAGTCTGAAAAAACTGCAGCGACATCAATAAATGAAGCTGTTGTGGCCATATGGAAATGTAAATTACCCCTCGGCGATCAATAAATTGTGTTGATGTATCGATCCATTCAATCTGCAGCCTGGCCACTCCTAATCTTACACATTGAGCTCTTCGGTGGCATACATTTCAAGATGCAGCTAAAAATGTGCTTCTGAACCCAGGAAATGCTGACGACTGGGGTTTGGGAAGACGGTAAAGGACACATTTATAATGAGACTTCTCAATGATTTGATTGTTTCATTGCAGTGAGAAAAAAAGATTGGTGTTTCTTCAACTTTGGTCCATTTATGTTCCAGGACATGAAATGAAAATTATTTTGCAAACACAGTACATCTTACTGTGAATGTTTCATCAATGTACTAAGATGAACGGAGGTCTTACGGGCGTCATTATTGACATCATTTTCATAACCTTTTAAGTCCTCACTCTTTTTCTCAAACAAGCAGAAGCTTCTCAAAGAAAATTTAGTATATAGACGTTGGTCTACTCCGTTATAAAATCAATATGTACGGTTCTAGGTGGGTTATTGGTCAATAAATGCGAAACGGGTTCTCATATACTGGTTTTGGTGAAGATTTCTTGGGGTATAAGAGTGTTTGTGCTTGGGAAAGTAGAAGAGAGAGTGTTGGTGTGTCCTACCTTCTCCAGATCTAGATGTTCCCAGGTCCAGATCATCTCTGGTGCCGCTCTGAGAGTCCAGGTACGTGGCAGGAACCCAGCCCTGTTCTTCAACAGTGCTGACAAACCACCAGCCTACAAAAAAAACATCCAGAAGATATTATTTTTCACCTAATATAGTGTTTAGAGAAAGGCGATGCATCTATGTGTTATTTGGATTTGGATTTTACTGATCTGATGGGATGCAATGTTTTGGCTTCAATCGAATATGCAAACACACTCTCTCTGGTGTTAGTTTCAGGCGATGCCGATGCATTTAAGCATTCTGTACACTAACTTCCTGTGTATCGTTTGGGATCAATTAGGCCTCACACATCATAAATATCATTGAGGGTGAACATTATTGTGTTTGTATGCACAGTCAAACATGAGGAAGGTTGGATGTGTCTGACATGCTCTTAGCAGCTGACATGTTTTATGAGTTTATATGCGTGTGCCTGTGTGTTTTCGGCCAAAATAACCTCATCAATTAAATTTATGGATTTCAACTCTTCCTTCGTGTGTCTGAATAAGTGCTGAATTTGTTAAATGTGGTGTCAGGATTATTATTTGTTTTTGAAATACGGATTGTAATGTGTTTTTTTGGGTTTCCACAATAACTCGAAGATGATTCTGAGCAGCTTTAAAAACAAAACGGTCAAAGAAAAAGTGTTATGCCAAGAGATGCTCATACAACCTTTATGAAAAGGACATTTGACTACATCTAACTGTGCAGAACTACAATTTACTAAGATTATGGAATTAAAACCATATATTTGGCACACTTAAACTTAAATGCAAAGCTGACATAAGTTAAAGCCAATGAATGAAAATTCAAAACGGTTTTCCAGCTGAAACAGATCTTTCTGAGCGAGCCTGTTGCCAAGGTAACAGAGTATTTTTGGAAAGCTCTTCATAACAGTGTGATGTCATCAGTCAGCAGTAATCTAGCTCTGACATCATAATGGCACAGAAGCAAAGTCTTTTGACAGGGCGCTAAGTGATCAACAGCAAATGTTCTAAAGCAACACGGGCCAATAATGATGTCAAACACTGTACGCTTTAGGAAAATACTTCAACATGCATATACTGTGCACTACCATTCAAAAGTTTGAGGAGTTTTCTAGAAAAAAGAATTTATTCAGCAAGGATGTGTTAAAATGATGAGTGGCAGTAACGTTTTATGATTTACCACAAAAATATTAAGTAGCACAACTGTTGTCAACATTGATAATAATAAGAATATGTTACTTCAGCACCGAATCATAGAATGATTTCTGAAGGATCATGTGACAATGAAGACTGGAGTAATTCAGCTTTGCCATCAGAGTTACATTTTAAAACATATTAAAAGATATTTAAGTTGTAAAATCATTTTACAATATTAGTTTTTAATCAAATAAATGCAGCCTAAGAGATGAGCATAAGAGACTGACTACAAACATCTGAACGGTAACATATTTGCAGCTGGATTATGCACTAGACCTTCAAGACCAATGCTAGACCCCATATCCAGTTTATAATCTGAAACAGAGACATATTTACTGCATCTTTCTTTTCAAGCCCTACTTTGTACAGTGGCTTTGTTGGCATTTACAGTCATGGAATTCTTGTAAATCCTTTCCAAGGGTGAAGATGCCGCACCGACCTGTGGTGGACATAATTATCATCTTCAGTATGTTGGAAATAGTAGTCTTTTTTGAAACCATAAACCAAGATCCATATCCAGACCAAAACTTCAAGTTTTGAGACCCAGACCATGTTTATGTAGTCTCAAGACCACAAGATAAAGACTTCAACTCTAGAATTAACATAATACTAAAAGCAAAAAATGTATCATTTCGTAGCTCAAAATTTGCCTAGAAAATCTAAATTAAAAGTCAAATGAATGCAGTCTGATATAGTCAAAGTAAAGTACTTAAAGGTTTATATTACTTGAACTAAAGTATCCCTGGGTCTGTCTTAACAGTTGGTCAATGGGTTAATATTATTATTTCAATATGTGCCATCAGTGTTTATTTACAAAAAAAAATGCGCATCCTCGTATTATACATTGTCGACAACTATCAAGTTTATCCTGAATGGACTTTTCAGACAAAGGCCTGGTTTCTCAGACAGTGCTTAGAATTAAGCCAGGATTAGGCCTTAGTTCAATTAGGACATTTAAGTAGCTTTTATAAACGTGCCTTTTAAAAAAAAAAACCTTAATGGTGTTTATCTTGAGACAAAACAATGGCACTGACATATTTTAATCAGAGCTTAGTTGCTTTCAGCGGCTCTAACATGTATTTTAGTCTGGGACTAGGTTTAAACCTTGTCTGTGAAACAGGAGGTATAAGAATTAATGAATTAAACAGTCTCTAACTTGAATAAATGTAACAAAAGTGTGATAAATGTAACAGCAACTGGAAAAGTTGTATAATACGGATATAAAAAAAAATACGTTTAAATATGTTTCAACAGAAAATTGCCTCCTCAAACTCGAGACATATCTTAAAGAGATATAGTACTTCACCTCTGGAAAGATGAATGTGTATTTAAAATGGGTCATTTACTGTATGTAGAAGAAATGTGAAATTATTTTGAGAATTTGGAGCTTTATAGAATGAGAAAAGCTAGAAAATGTATTTTTGGCTTATGTGGATGAAAGACAACAACTCCCAGAATGCACTTGCTTCACCGCCCTAGTAGGCCACGCCTACCGGTAACAGAGCGCAGTAGTTAAACAACAAGTCTAGGCTACTAGTGAGTCTGCCCAAAATTTTGTTTCGAGATCGCCCAAAATGTCTGGGATTCGGCTTTTGCATTCTGCAGTCGCCATTCATTATGTTTACTGGGGCGTAGTAAACATAATGAATGAGTGTGGCATGAGTGTGGAATCATGGGAGTTGTAGTTCTCACCTCCACAGCCGATGCAAAAAAATCTGACGGGACTCAGGAAGAAACCGTGTTCACGTATAAGGTAATTTATTAAAGTTTTATGAACGTTATGAATGGATGAATGAATATTAAGTTTAACAGAAATTTTTCTTGAGCAGTAAATCAACATATAAGAATGATTTATAAAGGATCAGGATAAATGCAGCCTTGGTGAGCCTAAGAGGCTTCTTTCTAGAAACACTACAAAATCTCACTGAACCCAAACTTTTGGATGGCCATGCTCATTTTAAACTCAAAGAAACAGTGGCTCTCATTTTAAAAAATGTAACGGCGATGCCAATTGGAAGACATACACTGAGAGACGGAAACAAACACAAAGATCAGAAAACTAGCACTGAGTCAGAGTGCCAAAAAAATCACAACAGTGCTTACATACAGAAATCTTAAGATTCATTTGAGTCAATTTGACCACACTGACATATATACCACCCTGACACAGCAAATCTCTCACAAACGCATACACACGAGTACTATGAACTTGCTAATGAATTTGTGAGAGAGCTGAGAGCAGGTTGTGGCCACCCTGCCAGACTGACCCTCTTTCAATGAGATACTTGTCTCCCTGTTTGTGCAAACCAGGAACCGTCTACGGCAAGCACTGAGGGTCAATTCAATCAGAATAAAAAATTGGAAGGGTTGCGCACAGTTTAGCCATCACACAGATGCTTTTCATTGAAGTAATTGGGTATTTGTTTATCTATTTGCGGGTATATAGTTGTGTGTCATCACAGCTTTCAGTAGGTGCACTCAAAGTTTACACATTAAACTAATTAAACAGTACTTTTAATGATGTATTAAATAAAAAAACTGTATACAAACATAAGATGAAGACTGTATTCTTATCAGTATCTGTTTTATTTCAGATGAGAAATCACATGACAAGCCAAATACTACTAAAATTACACTGACTTTATATCTCCCAATTCTGACTTTATATCTCGCAATTGCGACTTTATAACTCGCAATTCTGACTTTATAACTCGCAATTCTGACTTTATATCTCGCAATTCTGAATTTATATCTCGCAATTGCAACTTTATATCTCGCAATTCTGACTTTATATCTCGCAATTTTTACTTTATATCTCGCAATTCTGACTTTATATCTCGCAATTCTGACTTTATAACTCGCAATTCTGACTTTATAACTCGCAGTTCTGACTTTATATCTCGCAATTCTGAATTTATATCTCGCAATTTTTACTTGATATCTCGCAATTCTGACTTTATATCTCGCAATTGCGACTTTATATCTCGCAATTCTGACTTTATATCTCACAATTCTGACTTTATATCTCGCAATTCTGACTTTATATCTCGCAATTGCGACTTTATATCTCACAATTCTGACTTTATATCTCGCAATTGCGACTTTATATCTCACAATTCTGACTTCATATTTCGCAATTGAGACTTTATATCACGCAATTCTGACTTTATATCTCGCAATTGCAACTTTATATCTCACAATTCTGACTTTATATTTCGCAATTAAGACTTTATATCATGCAATTCTGACTTTATATCTCACAATTGCGACTTTATATCTCACAATTCTGACTTTATATTTCGCAATTAAGACTTTATATCATGCAATTCTGACTTTATATCTCGCAATTGCGACTTTATATCTCGCAATTGCGACTTTATATCTCGCAATTCTGACTTTCCATTTCGCAATTCTGCGATATAATTTAGAATTGCGAGAAGTAAACTCGCAATTGTGAGAAAAAAAGTCTGAATTGTGAGATAAAATGTCGCAATTACCTTTTATATTTTTCATTCAATGGCGGAAACAAGCTTCCATACCAATAGGTGTCGGATGCAACCGTACACATCCAAGACAACATAAACAAAGTCGACAATTACTGTGTGCACCTTTAAAGAAATAATCTCACACCTTCTGATTAGACATTTGAGAGCATTTCAAATACTGGATATCCAATAGCAATAATGAATATGAACAGTCAGAAAAATCAGCTGGGATGACTTGAAAGCTAATATGTTATGCCTGCCAAGTTTCAAAGCCAAACTTTTGCTTGACAAAGCAGAAACTAATTCTTTAACCAAAACAAAAGACAACCGGAATGCTGTTTTGATGCTGAAACTATGTACTCCTCTTCAGCTCAGGACGTTACGATACTCTCACACAAAAAC